TTTCCCTGACATGAAACTACTCCAGGTCTCTGGAGAGGTGTCATATAAATTTTCCAAGCAAACAGACAAACAGAAACACAGCCCGGAAAAAGCTCTGTACACAAAATGGGCGTTGAGCTGCAGCAATGCCACTGAATGCACACAAACACTTCAACTGCGGATCGAGAAGACTCCTTGACAGAAAGTTGACTGACGGGATAGAGTTGCCAGGTCCCTCTGGGCAACAGGCAGGGGATTGGGGGACACTTACCGGGAGCAGGAGGGAGGCTCCGCCGACATGCAGGATGTACCCACATCACTGACAGGGCTATTTTTGGGCAGGAACGCACAGGAACGGAGTTCCGGCTGGCTCCTGAGTTGGCCACGCCCAGCAGGGACTCATTAGCATAATAGGCCACACCCAACAGCAGAAACTCATTAGGATTGGCTACATTAGGGGTGTGTGGCCTACCATGCAAAGGGGTTCCTGCTACAAAAAAAGCCCTGGGTTTTGACCACAAACAAGGTAAAGAGAATAAGAAGCAAAAGGTGGGTGTGGCTGGATGAGCTCACTTCTGGTAACACAGAGGTGTGGCCTCATATGCTAACACGTTTCTGCTGTTGGGTGTGGCCAATTATGCTAATGAGTTCCTGCTGGGCTTTTTTTACAAAAAAACCCTTACTGTCCGTATGATCTGGTATTGACATTGTCACCTCGGAGACATTGGGGCAACGCTCTGGTATTTGGGCATAAACTCTATGGTAAATTTGGCTTCTGCCACAGAGTTTTTGCCCAAATACCAGAGTGTTGCCCCGACATCCCCGATGTAACTTCCGGGTCATGGGGCCAGTGTTGTGGCCATGTGGCTGCACATCTTTTTTGAGGTAAGCTGATTGGCGGCTGGGCAGTAGGTGATCCCTGCCTCCACCGGGGGATCCGGCAAAGCTCACAAGAGAGCTTCTGAGAGAAGGAGATCTGAGAGAAGAAAGCTCAACAGAGATGGAAGGGAGGCTGCCCCATACCAAGAAACCAACATTTAAATTGGGGTAAGAAAATAAAATAATGAAAACAATACCGAAATTCTGAGTACCTGTGAGATATCCATGACCGAGTCACAGCTCAGAGGCCTGGCCGACGTCAGGTCATTGGAACCAAGCAGAGTCGAGATAATCCCATTCTGGTCGATGCGTCGGATCATGGTGCCGTCCACAAAATAAATGAACCCAAATTTGTCCACGGTGATGCCTGGGAAGGGGGAATAAACACAGCATGGGCAACCCGCAAAGGAAGAACAAAGTGGTCTCAATCTCCTGGTGTTTTCGAAAATTTACTTCACTTATACCCTGGCCTTTCTCCCCCACAGGGACCCAGTGTGGCTTATGTTGTTCACCTTTTCTCTATAGATCCTCTGTATTTTAGTGTATTTCTTTTTCAGGATAGTATATTAGAATACTGAATGGATGTCTGCTGACAACATTACATTCAGCTCAAAATATATCGCTAAGCGCCCTCCACGCCTGAGAGGAGATAATTAAGATTCTGTTACTTCCCACAATTAGAAAAAAGACACCTTTAGACATTTATCTGCTATTTTGACATATTTATGGCTTTACAACTGTTGACCTTCTAACCTTAACTTGTTATTTAGTTTTTCACTTCAGCATCATCATGTTACATGTTAATTTGCTGTTTAAACCCCTGTCTAGAACCATATCTACCATTCCAACGTATTTGAAAAAGTGTGCCTTGCACCTTGAATAAACCTTTGCTGGTCTTAAAGGTGCCGCTGGACTCTAAATTTGTTCTATTCCTTTCCTCTATTTTGTACTCACAACAATCCTGTCAGGTAGGTTAGGCTGAGATTGTGACCAGCTCAAAGTAATCTAGCAAACGTCCGTGGCAGAGTGGGGATTATCTGAACTCGGGTCTCTTTTGGATGCCTATTTATTTTTACACACATACGCTCAATAAATCCTATATGGATGACAGGAATGGATGATGAAAAAGAAGAGATTGGATTTATACCCCACCCTTCACTTGGAGTCTCAGAGCGGCTCACAAACTCCTTTCCCTTCCCCTCCCCGCAACAGACACCCTGTGAGGTAGGCGGGGCTGAGAGAGCTCTTTCTGAACTGTCCTTGAGAGAACACCTCTGAAAGAACTATGGCTTACCCAAGGTCATCCACCAGCTGCAAGTGGAAGAGTGGGGAATCAAACCCGGTTCCCCCAGATTAGAGTCCGTGCACTTAACTGTTACACCAAACTGGCTCGGGACAGAAGACAAAGGCCAGAAAGAGCCACGAGGGTGTAACCCTCAACATTTCTCATACAAGAAAGTTTCAGAGAGTAGCTGCGTTGGAGTAGAATGGCTAGATTCGAGTCCTGTAGCACCATAGAGACCAACAAAATTGCCGGGGCGTAAGCTTTTAAAAGTTTATAAGCTGAAAACCTTGTTGGTTGGTAAGGTGCAGGGTTGACAGCTTCTGGTTGGGAAATACCTGGAAATTGTGGGGGTGGAGACTGAGGAGGGTGGGGTTTGGGGAGGGGAGGGACGTCACTGGGGTAAAATGCCATAGAGTCCACCCTTCCAAAGCAGCCATTTTTCTCCAAGGGAACTGATCTCTGTCGCCGGGAGAGCAGTTGTAATTTCGGGAACTCTCCAGCCAACACCTGGAGGTTGGCAACCCTATGCTACTAGGCTTGGCTCCAGCTGGTCTCAGGCAAGTGGTTATTCTGAATCCCATTCCGTATTGCTTTTTCCTAATGATTCGTGCAAAAGAAGACTACGTGACTCCACCAAGCAGCAAATGAACCACAAGATCATTGGTTGGAATATTCACCAGGAAGAAGAAGAGGAGACTGGATTTATACCCCGCCCTTCACTACCCAAAGGAGTCTCAGAGTGGCTTACAAACTCCTTTCCCTCCCCCTCCCCACAACAGACACCCTGTGAGGTAAAAGAAGAAGAAGAAGAGATTGGATTTATACCCCGCCCTTCACTACCCAAAGGAGTCTCAGAGCAGCTTACAAACTCCTTTCCCTTCCCCTCCCCACAACAGACACCCTGTGAGGTAGGTGGGGCTGAGAGAGCTCTGACAGAAACTGCTTTTTCAAGAACAGCTCTGACAGAACTACGGCTTGCCCAAGGTCATCCAGCAGCGGCACATGGAGGAGTGGGGAATCAAACCCGGTTCTCCCAGATTGGAGTCCCCGCACTTAACCACTACACCAAACTGGCTGTAACCATTGATTTTAAATGTTTATACTGTGTTTTTAAATTGTGTTTTCAAATGTTATTGTTTTCAAATTTTATTGGGATGGGCAGGATATAAATATGAAAAATAAATAAATCATGTTATCTTTTGTTTCATCCTGCAATGAAGTGATGAGTGAACAGACGAGGATTTGTGTATGGACGGGCCACTAGCCTGATCCAACATGGTTTCCCGCACGTTCTTATGTTTGCATTCGGGAAATGAAGGATCATAGGAAACGATAATTCCTCCCCAAACAGATGGTTGCTGTGCATCTTTCTTGCGTTTGTTTGTTGCCCTTTTCTTCTCCCCTCCCCTGCTTGTTCACTGCAATCTTTTCAAATTGTGAGACTTTATTGTGCTTCCATTGCTTTTTCTTCCGGAGCTGGTGAGTGAATGCTTTGGCGTCAGCAGTGACAAGCCGTAGATCTAATTTTTCTTCCTTTCTGATTGCTCGTCGGAGAAGAACAGTACGAACAGATGATAATTGGAAAGTGATAGCTTTAATTTACTGGGGGATGTGGAAATTCATTAGCGTCTTTGGTGTTTTGCGGCACTGGAGGTGAACTAAGCTGGACGCACGAGATGCAGTCCGTGTTGACATACGCCTACAGAAACCTTGTGCTTATGCAGCTGGTAGATTTGTCATGTGTTATATCTTTCACCAAATGAAAACAATATGTTTCCTCTTTGCCGCGTTTCAGTGTGATGGGGCAGTCAGTTCGGGACAGCCAAAGAAAATACTACTTTACACAGAGAGTGATGAAAAAGGGGAATTCATTGCCAGAGGATGTAGTGATGGCCACAGAAATAAACAACTTTAAAAGGAGATTAGATATTCATGGAGGATAAGTCTATCAATGGCTACGAGCCATGGTGACTGAGGGGAACCTCCACATTCAGAGGCACTAAACCTCTGAATCCCAGCGCCAGGAGGCAACATCAGGAGAAGGCCTCGGCCTCTATGCCCTGTGTGAGACAGGATGCTGGACTAGATGGACCACTGGTCTAATCCAGCAGGGCTCTTCTGATGTTCTTATCAGGGAAAGGCCTCAGCCTCCATGCCCTGTTGTTGGCCCTCCAGGGGAACTGATTGGCTGCTGTGTGAGATAAAATGCTGCACTAGATGGACCAATGGTCTGATCCGGCAGGGCTCTTCTGATGTTCTTATCAGGGGAAAGCCTTGGCCTCTCTGCCCTGTTGTTGGCCATCCAGAGGAACTGGTTGGCCACTGTGTGAGACAGGAGGCTGGAGTAGATGGACAACTGGTCTTATTCAGCAGGGCTCTTCTTAGGTTCTTATAAGGAGATGATATTACTGATGGGTGACAGGTTGTGAGAGAGGCTCATTTGAGAGAGAGAGAGATGGAGCACAACGTGCAATCTATTTCTGTCAGAAATGCACAGCGATGGCTTACCTGGAGGTCTCTGGGATGACAGGGAAGTTTTTACCCATAATTGCAAACCAGCACCTCATAAACAATGTCATATGCACGTAGCCAATAAGCAAGCCAATGCATAAGAAGCCCGAAACTGGAATCCGCCAAAGCTTCTTCGTAACTCTCCTTCTCTCTCACAGACACACACCCGTGAACCCCCTTCCTTCTCCCGTCCAACGATCTGTCATGCGTTATTATCTTTCACCAAGTGAAAACAACATGCTTCCCCTCGGCCGCGTTCCAGTTTGAATCCGATCCACAGGTACAGGGAGGACGAGATCTCAGAACACAAATCTGTCAGCGTTGCTAGACAAACCTAAAGCAGCTCCAAAGCGCAGCTGGTGTTTTACACGCTATTAGCATGGCGTGCATAACGCATGGATGGCAACGGGGCGCATAGGCGTCGACTGCAAATGTGCCTTATGCTGAGTCGGACCTTGGGTCCGTCTGCCTTAGTGCTGCTGTCTGACTGACAGTGGTTCTCCGTAGTCGGGAGAAGCCACCCCTCACCCCCAAGTCTGATACCGGACACCCTTGACCTGTAGACACAGAGGTGGGATCTTGGGTATACAACGCGTGTACTCCACCGTCACTCCTTCCCATGAGCACAGGTCTGCTCGAGAGCTGCCCATGCTCTGTCAATCAATATTATTTTGGAGGCCTGGTTGAGGGAGAAGCAGGAGAAACTTGAAAGGTGAGGCTGAATTATTGGAGGAACTCTAGGGGCCTCACTGACTGTTGCAGGAACTTCTGGAGGCCTCACTTCAAGAAGGATGTGGACAGAATGGAGTGCGTGCAGAGGAGAGAGACGAGGATGATCGGGGGCCTGGAGACCAAGCAGCCTCATGAGGAAAGGCTGAGGGACTTGGGAATGGTCAGTCTGGAGAAGAGGAGGTGGAGGGGGGACAGGACTGGCGGCACCTGGCCCCCCTGGGCCTAGGGACGCCAGGTTGGCGGCGACTAGGACCAGGGCGTTCTCCCTGGTGGCGCCGACGCGCTGGAATGAGCTCCCCGGTGAGATCAGAGCACTGCGGGACCTCCAGCAATTCCGCAGGGCCGTGAAAACGGAGCTTTTTTGCCGGGCGTTTTTGTAAGAATCGATTTTATCGGCTGCGCTGCCCTTGCACTTTGTTATACGATACCGCCACGTGTAAATGGTTTTAACTGTATTTATTTGGAATTTTATTGTATTTTATCTATGCATTTGCTGGTTTTAGAATGGTATGTAAGCTGCCCTGAGATGCTTCGGCGGAAGGGCGGGATAGAAATCTAACAAATAAATAAAAATATTGCTGTCTTGAAGTATTTGAAGGGCTGTCGCTTAGAGGAGGAGGGCAGGGAGCTGTTCCTGTTGGCAGCAGAGGAGAGGATTCGCAACAATGGGCTTAAATTAAGGGCAGGAAGTACCGGCTGGGTCTGAGGGAAAAGCTTTTTGACAGTCAAGAGTTGTGCCACAGTGGAATCGGCTGCCTCGGGGTGGGTGGGTGGGTGGGTGGGTGGATGAGCTCCCCCTCACTTGCAGTCTTCAAGCGGCGGCTGGACAAACCCTGGTCAGGGATGCTCTAGGCTGATCCTGCATTGAGCAGGAGGTTGGACTAGACAGACAGTGATGTTTCTATGACTCTAACTCTACCCTGGAGCTCACTCCCAGAGCACCATGCAAAATGAACCCATCAAATAATTAAATACACCTGCAAAGTACCCCCCTGCAGAGGATGCTGCTCGTTGTGTCTCTGCACGCTTTCTGGCTCTGGCCTCACCTCCTTCCAGTCAGCCTGCATCATTCAATTACTCGACGCAAAGATGCAACCAGGGTTGCCAGCCAAGTCCTGGCAACCAGTGGGATTTGTAGGGGGGTGGGTACATGCAAAATAGGTGTCACGGTGACATCACTTCCGGAGCAAACCCGGAAGTGACGTCAGCGTATCGGGTGTGGGGGTGTGTGTCTTTAACTACAGAGGTTTGGTGGAATCCTAGAATGCCGCATTCACAATGGAAGCAATACCTTTTTGTTATGTCCTGGGCCCGACACCGACTGACCCAGCTTGGGAACACAGAACAATAGACTGCTAGGATCCTGGAAGGAACCTATCAGCCAGGAGTACCTCTGTAAATAACCTATCACGGTGAGTGTGTGTGTGGGGGGTGGGGTGTTGTGCATGGATTTAAGCAGGGCTTTGGTCCTGCTCAGGTTGTCTTTAGTCCGAGCTGATTCACAACAAAGCATGAGCTGATCCCTACTCGCGTGTCGAACCCAGTATATTTCACTTTTTTACTTCACTTCTTACTGCTTTTACAACCTAAGCCATAAACAGCAAACCCTCATCCCGTAGGAGAACCTAAGAGTTAGTGATCACCAACGTTCCCTCTAAGCTGTGGAGTCTTGTGAGCAGAAATTCTACTTTGTGAGCGACTGGCATGAAAGTTGTGAGGGAGCGATTTGGCTGCTGCTGCACAGATTACTTTGCTCTGGATACTTTGCTCTGGAGCCATCCTTCCCGAGCCGAGACAAAAATGTGTGAGCCGGAGGCTGAAAAAACTGTGAGCTCTAGCTCACACCAGCTCAGCTTAGAGGGAACGTTGGCTATCATGTAACTTAACAACAGCTGCCAAAAATTTTCGCCACACAGAGAGTAGTTTGCCTAATTTTGTCACCGAGTAGCCAAGACGATTCCTGATTAAATAACGGGGAGATCAATTCAGCTCTTAGTTCTGAGAACTTGGGACAATCAAAGCATTTACCTATTGTCCCCCCCTGCCGCTCGACTGAGTGGCAATGAGTATCCAGGCCCCAGGAAGGGTGGGCCTTCCTAGACGCAACAGATTTACCTGCCCTCAAACGTGGTGAGGCCAGAACAGAGAGTCCTAGAGAAAACACAAAGGGGTCTTCTCCTTTGAAGGCGGGCAGTTCCTTCTCTTCTGTGCTCTTAAAAAAAGAGGCTTCTCAAGGCACACAAGTTAAGTATGCCTCCAAGCGGCTGCTGGCACTGAGAGCCAGTTTGGTGTAGCGGTTAGGAGTGCGGACTCTAATCTGGAAGAACCGGGTTTGATTCCCCAGTTCTCCACATGCAGCACCTGGTGTGACCTTGGGTCAGTCACAAGTTCTCTCAGAGCTGTTCCCTCAAGAGCAGTCCTTGAGAGAGCTCTCTCAGCCCCGCCGACCTCACAGGGTGTCTGTTGTGGGGAGGGGAAGGGGAAGGAGATTGTAAGCCGCTCTGAGACTCCTTTGGGTAGTGAAGGGCGGGGTATAAATCCAATCTCCTCTTCTTCTTCTCTGCTCTATCCTTCCTTCACAGCCGCTTGGGACTCAGAGCACGCTAGGACCAATGGCGGCTCAAAGTGTGCTCAGGCTAGTAGTGGGGGGTAGCAGACTGGTTGGTGGGAAGCAGGCTGCAGGCTGGCCTAGGGCCACAAAGACCCTGCTTGTTCACACAGCACACCTCTCTTTTGGGTATGTTGTAGGGCTATCTTTCGGCTATGCTCCTGCAGAGTGCAGGGGGTTGGACTAGATGACCTGCAAGGTCCCTTCCAACTCTAACATTCTATGATTCTATGAAGCCACCTAATCCTCTTAAAGAAGGTCGTCTTGTCTTACCCCTGGGATTTGTCAGCGTGGCCTCGGTGGCTTTCCCGCCATCTCCGCAACGAGTGTCGTCGAAGGGGAGGCACTGGTCTCCTGTTCCGGCCACCACCTCCGAGTTCTTCACGACATCCTTCACTACGGTGGTTGATTTGATCTTAAAGACTCGGCGACTGTTGGTGTCGGAGAGGTAGATGGATCCGGTGATGGGGTCCGTGGTCAGGTAATACTTGTGAGCAGGGCTGTGGCTAAAAAAGTAAATAAATAAATAAAACCCAAGGGAAAAAATGGAATCATCGGAAAGCAGTTTGCACCCGCCTCATATCGCGAGACCAATGAGGTCATGGCATCACAGCCAATCAGATCTGACAGCACGGTGACATCACTGAGGGCAAAGGAAGCTTATTTATTGACTTTGCTCAGAGTGGGGAAGAAGAAATTCTGTAGTATCATTCCGCAAATGTGCTCAGATACTACATGAAACTTTCATGACTTTTTGACCCTTACCTGGAAGAAGAAAACATCAAAGCGGTCCACAAAATATCTGTGAAATTAACCCTCTCCTTGCTGATCTTGTTTGGCTGTTCCTTTGCTGGACAGAGAGGAGGATGGATAATTATGGGGACTACAACTTGTCAGGGCTATATAGTGATGGGTGTATTCAACCCTTTGGCGTAACGTCTTCCCTCAGGGAATGCCATTTTGGAACCCCGATCTAATAGGCCTCCGACTGTTCCTTCAGACGTGAAACAGAGGCTCATGTATATTCGCCAGAAATTATTTTTACACATCCTCGTATTTTTTCAATCGCCTTTCTTCTAAATAACAACCATTTTCCAATCCCTTCGAGAACACACCGAGCTGTAATTTGGATATTTCATTCCGTTTAACTGAATTGCTGCTTTTTTTTGAGGGGCTGCAGGCAGAAGGGAGAGGGGAGGGAGGAAGCGGCCTTTCTGATTTATCCCCGAATATCCCCTGCGATTTACCCTATTAAAGTCTGAGCAGATTCCATCTGCACAAGATGACACTGATTCTCGCTAAATAAAACACTCTGACCTTCAACGACTCAGCTTGGCAGGTTGGGTTCCATCTGTATTCCTTCCCAATGACAGCCAACTGGCAGGGTATTATTTCATTTACCTGCACGTCACTCAACCTGAGCAAGTGGCACCTACTCTGGTGGCGGAGGTGGGGGGGGGGAAGGTGCCCTGTGGGAATCTGCCATCCATTTTGATCAGGCCCCGGTGCGCGCTGGTTATTGTCAGCGCGGCCGGGCTGAATGTCAGTCAGCTGTTGAGCTGCTCCTAATCACTAGAGGTGGGCAGGCGAGACATTCATAACCGCACACTGACGCTCCCTCACACCTTGTTTGCCTCAGGACATTCAAAACGCTTTTGGCAGGCCTTATCTTCCAATTGGATAAGGCCACGGAGACGATTTACACAAGTGCGCGGAGGCAACCTGACACCTCTATCCACTTCCTGTGGGCAGGATTACAGGTATCTGAGGCTTCCAAGGAACATATTTACCTCACATTTACCTCAGAAAAAGGAGGGCCAACTGGCTGGTAATGGGCTGGATCCAGTTCCCCCATGCAATATTATCTGGCTTGGGGCAACCAGGTTGACAAGTCTTGGGTATGATGGGAGGGGGGAAACTCACCCTAACGGCATCCTATGACGTCACTTCTGGCTGCATAACTGGAAGTGATGCCATTGCATCATGGGGTATTCTAGGATTCACTCCAAACTCTGTGGTTTTCACTACAGAGTTCTGGTTGATTCCTAGAGGATCCTGTGATGTGTCAATGTCACTTCTGGTTATGGGGCCGGAAGTGATGTTGTGGCTTCACAGGATCCCATTTCAGGCTGCCCATTTTTCTTGCTGCTGCTTCTCAGGCCTATTGACTGAGTCAGAGGTTGGAAGGTTGCCCGCCAGAATGACAACCTGGCCTCCCCAGTTTGGCTACATCCCCAATTTTTAAATCAAGGGTCTGGCTAATATGCCCACATCTTCATGGAGAAGTAATATTTTTAAAAGGTTTTTTTTAATGGGAAGAAAGAAGAGATATTCCACACTATAATGTCATATACAGATTCAAAAAGCAAATTAACCTATTGTGTAAATGTACTTATTTGTAAAAAATGGCTGATTCTGCATTGACTTTTCCCTCCATAGTTTTATGAAACCCACGTTGGAACAGAAATTCCCCTCTGCCTTGCATGCTGCTTTCACTTCCTTTGATTATCGGGTTTTACGGTAGCGTCCACATGCCATGCCACTTTTGAGTTCTTTGATCTTTGGATTTTATTGTACCTGCTGCAAAGAGTTACGGCCATTTTATGGCTATTCAGGAGAGACTCTGCAGTCAGTACAGCCTTGCCCTGGGGTACCTGAATGTGGTTTGGAGCTGCACTTTTTCCTCCCAGCTGAGAAAATGTGGAGCGAATGCTAGATGCAGAATTGCCCAAAGTCATGCTGAACAGAAGGACTTTGGGTAAGTTTGTGCTGCTTGAAGGGGCCTGACCCTTTGGATCAGTCTGTCTTCAGAAGAAGGATGCTCAACATAGAAGAATCTGAAGACCAAGGAATGAAGTGAGGCACGATACAAGAAATCTGTGGCGAGGACCACTTACTTGAAAAGAAAAAAAAAAAGAGAGGAAGGAGATAATACTTAAGCTGTACCTTTCTTTCCCCAACTCCTGCATGGAAGGGTTGAGCTAACTGCTACTTTAGGGAAGGTGGTCTAAATCATCAAAGAGGAACGGGAGTCATGAATTAGAACAGTCTTGCTCTGAGCAAGCTCTTCCCAGTCTTCAAAGCTGCCACAAATTAGCTCTTAAAATGCGTCAGTGGATCCTGATCACAGATTTCTCACATCAGGCTTTTGCACAGTCTCACTTTCCTCGGTCATAAGTTCCTGTTGCTTTGGGGTTTCACCCTTGTTTCACACATTTTGCTCCCTCTAGTGGTTGATTCGATATTACATTGCTTTAGGTCTAGCATGTCTCCCTGCAGATTTATCTACAGAGCAACTCTGCATATATTTAACGCAATTACCAATGCAAACATAAATGCAGTCTTTTGCACGGGACTCCAAACAGAAATGGGAATGAGAGCTAGGATAAAGAATAACAATTGTTTTTCCCCTAGTGGCACACTAATTGCATTTTGAGTGCTAGGAAAATGTGATTCCCCCCTTCAACACAAGATGCATGGACCGCTTACAACAAATTGGTTGCAGAATTTTGATACGACATCCCCACCCCCCAGAGTAGGGCTTTCCTGCATTCTAATTTTCCTCACTTGTACGTTCCCATTGCTTTGGTCTTCACTCTCATTCTGCAACTGTTTTGCTCCCTCTAGTGGTAAATTTGATATCACACAGGTTTATCTCTGGCATAGCTCCCTGCAGATTTTGTCACAGGAGGTGGCGGCGGCTACAAGCATGGGCAGCTTCAAGAGGGAATTAGATAAGCATATGGAGCAGAAGTCCATCACACGCTGGGGCAAGGGATGCTCTGTATTCTTGGTGCTTGGGGGGGGCAACAGTGGGAGGGCTTCTAGTGTCCTGGCTCCACTGCTGGACCTCCTGATGGCACCTGGTCTTTTTGGCCACTGTGTGACAGAGTGTTGGACTAGATGAGCCATTGGCCTGATCCAACATTGGCTTCTCTTATGTTCTTATGTTCAGATTTAAACTGCAGGTTTTCACCCTGGACGCAAACCTGTGTAATATCGAACTGACCACTGGAGGGAGTAAAGCACACTTGGAACAGGGGGGGGGGAAATCCCTGAAGAAACAGGAACTTACCAGTGAGAAAAATGGAAATGGGGAAAAGCCCACAGTCTGGCACGCTACGTAAAGTGTGGGAAACAACTCCCAACCCCCAGATCAGGGCTGCGCCAGCCCTTAACAACAACAACACCTTCACCTGATCCTTAATCACCAATTAACAGCTGGATATTGTTTGGTTTAAAAAAAAAACAGAATAAGAAAGAAAGACATGAGCCAGGGAGTGACGATTCTTCCCTGGTTGGCTTACCTATGTCTGAAATCTTTATTTCTGACAGGAGAGCAGGAAAAGCAGAAGAGAGGCGAGAGCGAGAGCGAGAGAGAGGGGAGGAAAGACAGGGTTAGCGGCTGAGCTCCCAGCATGATTAGCAGGCTGAAAACTTGACAGTAACAACTACGCCATATAAGGCAATCATAAATAAAGATTTAACAAGCCTGACACTGATACGTTCCATAATGGAGGTTGCCTGTCAGCGAGTCGCTGTGGACGCCGCCCCCCATCACCGAGAAAGCCGTTTCTCGGCTGATGTTCGACTTGCCAGTGGCGGATATCATGGTGATATGGCAGTCTTCCATCTCGGCGTGTCCCCCCCACCGTTTGCTTCCAACACGAAACTTAATTCCTCCGGACAGATCTTCCCGTTCTTTGAGATGATTTGTGCGAATCCCTCTGCCCATGAGCAGCCATGTTTTCTATCCCAGAGTCCCCCCCCGTTTCCATCCCGAACACCATGCCACGACAAACAGATCACCTGCATTATTCACCGTGATAAAGACCTGTGATTTTTGCACGCTGTTGCAATAGGTTTAACGGTCCTCTCCCTCAGGGCAATGAGCCCTTCATGGCTTGGGACCCATGTTCCCTCTAAGCTGAGTTAGTGTGAGCTAGGCTCACAGTTTTTTAGCCTCCGGCTCACACATTTTTGTCTCCGCTCAGGAAGGACGGCTCCGGAGCAAACGATAATTTATGCAGCAGCCAAATCGCTCGCTCACAACTTCAATGCCAGTAGCTCACAAAGTAGAATTTTTGCTCACAAGACTCCACAGCTTAGAGGGAGCATTGTTTGGGACTGGGTTCTCTAGAGGACAGTCTTCTCCAATATGTTCCTGCCAAGGAACTAAGATCACAGGGAGAGGCCCTCCTGACTATCCCGTCAATCAACGAAGCTCATTTGGTGGGCACACAAGAGATGGGTTTTTCGGTGGCAGCCACGCAATGATGGAACAACCTCCCTGGGGAGGGGCAGCTGGCCCCCCTCACTTTATGTATTTAGGAGATGGTTGGATGGTTTTATTTACGACTGCATTTGGTTACGTTTAGTAGAAGTTTGGTGTGGTGGTTAGGAACTGGGAAAACTGGGTTTGATTCCCCATTCCTCCACATGCAGCTGCCGGTGTGACTTTGGGTCAGTCATGGCTCTCTCAGAGCTGTTCTCTCAAGAGCTCTCACAGCCCCCGCCTGCCTCACAGGCAGTGTTCCCTCTAAGCTGAGTTAGTGTGAGCCAACTCACAGTTTTTTAGCCTCCGGCTCACACATTTTTGTCTCAGCTCAGGAAGGATGGCTCCAGAACACACTAATTTACGCAGCAGCCAAATCACCTGCTCACAACTTTAATGCCGGTAGCTCACAAAGTAGAATTTTTGCTCACAGGACGCTACAGCTTAGAGGGAACATTGATCACAAATATTTATAGGGGCACGACAATACTGTTTATCTTCAGTCTCTCTCCAAAACCGCTCTGAGACTCCTTCGGGTAGTGAAGGGCCGGGAATAAATCCAATCTCGTCTCTCTTCTCTGAGTAGTGATTTTTATTTTTGGTTTTATGTTGCTTCAGCAACAGCTGCCACCACAGCACAAGGGTATTTATTACATTACTCTGTGTGTGTGTGGATTTTTTAAAAAAACAATATGTTACTTTTTAAAGGCATCCTGTTAAACAAAACTTCTGTCTAAATGTTGAAGAGTCACTATTAGAATTATGCACAGCCTCACTCCCTGACATCTTCCGTTTGGTTCCGTCTCTGAAGGCAGCCATTTTGTGGTTGGCTCCACCACTGGAAACAGCCAATCTGCAGTTGCACCCACCATTCTGCGTGAGGATTTCAAAGGTGCTCACGGGCTTTGAAAGGTTGGGGGGGCCCCTGGCAAAGGGTCCACCTTCCAAGGCATCCATTTTCTCTGAGGGACCAGATCTCTGTAGTCTGGTGATCAGTTGGAATTTTGGGAGATCTCTGGGCCCCACCTGGAGGCTGGCAACCGTGTTGCAAACTGGCCCTTACCGTGGGCTTTAACTTTAACTTCAAACTCAAGCTTGTACCACGGGTCACTTTGCCTCTTTTGGCTTTAGCAGTTTAGCAGCTCCTGAGCTGGGCAACGCAGCTGCTTGACGTTTTACTGCATGAGGCTCATGAAGTGGACACGGGAGAGAGCCGCAGTGACGCCGAGGCCTCCTTCAGGACTCGTGAGCAAATGTTACAAACCTTCCCCTTGCTGCAGTCTTTTTGAAGCCCCGTTTCACAGCTGCTGTCCCATTCCTCCCCCCAAAACACAGGTTGCCAATCTCCAATAAAGAAACTGTCCCGAATGGCATTCATAGAATTATAGAGTTGGAAGGGACCTCCAGGGTAATCTAGTCCAACCCCCTGCACAACGCAGGAAACTCACAAATACCTCCCCCCTCCACACCCATAGTGACCACTGTTCCACATCCAGAAGATGACAAAGCTCTAACCGTCAGGAAGTTCTTCCTCATGTTTAGCCGAAAGCTCTTCTGATTTAATTTCAACTCGTTGGTTCTGGTCCGACCTTCTGGGGCGACAGAAAACAACTCGGCACCATCCTCTATAGGACAGCCCTTCAGGTACTTGGAGATGGTTATCCTATCATCTCCAAGGGAATCCTGCTTTAAAAAGTTGCAGAGGGTAGCCATTTTGGTCAGCAGTAGAACACTTAGATTCCAGTCGAGTAGACCAACTAGATTCCAGTCCTTAGAGACCAACTAGATCATCAGGGTATGACCTTTTGAAAGTCAAAGCTCCCTTCGTCAGATAGGGACCCCCGCTCCCATCGTATCTGACAAAGGGAACTTTGACTCTCAAAAGTGCACACCCTGTAAATCTTGTTGATCTCTAAGGTGCTGCTGGATTCAAAATCTAACTATTTTGCTTTACAAAAGCAATATTAAAAAAAAACCCCAAATTTGTACAATACCCCCCCCCCCCACTGTTATCTGGGACAAGCTGGCTGGTCAGTCATCTCCGCATGCCTTTTACAGGATTCGGGGAAATTATGCCCAAAGAAGCAGAAAGGACTGAGGCATCTTTCCTACTGCTCACTTGTTACCTTACTGTCCTCCATCACCCAAGGGTCTTTTCTCCCAAGAGGTACTTTTCTCCCTTTCTCACAATACAAAGGACTCGTGGGCACTCCGTGAAACTGCAGAGCGGTCGGGTTAGAACGGATAAAAGGAAGTCCTTCTTCACCCAAAGAGTGATGAACACATGGAATTCACTGCCACAGGAAGTGGTGGGTGCTACAAGCATGGACGGCTTCAAAAGGGAATTAGATAGGCATATGGAGCAGAGGTCCATCAGTGGCTCTTAGCCACAAGGTATAGATAGGGACTCTGGGGCAAGTGATGCTCTTGCTTATTGGTGCTTGGGGGGGGGAGGCAACAGTGGGAGGGCTTCTAATGTCCTGGCCCCACTGCTGGACCTCCTGAGGGCACCTGGTATTTCTGGCCACTGTGTGACACAAGAGTGTTGGACTGGATAGGCCATTGGCCTAATCCAACATTGGCGTCTCTTATGTCTCTTTTTCCTTGAAAGACACTGTCCATTTTCCCTAGTTCCTTCCTGTTCCCCCAGTCTAAATTTGGATTTTAAGCTCTGTGGGAATGGGGAAAGATTCTCTTTTGCTGCTAAAGCGAGGAGAGGCTGTGGCTCAGGGGCAGAGCATCTGCTCGGCATGCAGAAGGTTCCAGGTTCAATCCTTGGCATCCCCAGTTGAAAGGACCAGGAAGTAGGTGATGTGAAACCTGAGACCCGGGAGAGCTGCTGCCAGTCTGAATAGACAATACCACCTGGAACTTTAAAAACAGTGTTTGTTTAAAAAAATCAGTTTAGGGTACGTCTTTCACAGATCCAGGTATTCAATAATTACATTTCTTTTCCCTTCATCCAGTGTCAACAAGGCTTGGAAAGATCTCAGTAACATCCTCTCGGGGATATTCTGTGCCTCTCTGAATTTCATTGATTCCACTAACACAGTTATTCCAACAGCATCCTTCAAACCTCTGGGACTGGCTAATGGTGAGTGGGTGTGCGCATGCATGCTGGGCTGGCTTGGAGGGGCCTGTTTCACACTAAAAGAGTAGCACTTAATTGTGTTGGAGCTCCTTCCTTATGTGATCCTCTGCTAGCAAGTAGACTTGGAGGATGATGAGAGCGCGTGACTTGCAGGTGGTGCTTCACAAAGGAGGAGGGTTGGCATCTGTGGAGTTATACTTGGGGTTGATGAATCCGCGGTGGCTCAGATGTTAAGACGCTGAAGCTGCAGACCGGAAGGTCTGTATCTCGGCAGTTTGAGACCCAAGTGCCACATGACGGAGTGAGCTCCCATCTTTGGCCCCAGCTCCTGCCAAACTAGCAGTTCGAAAGCAAGAAATTGCAGGTAGATAAATAGGTACTCGGTGGGAAGGTAACAGTGTTCCGTGTACCTCGGCATCTAGTCATGCCAGCCACATGACCACAGAGATGTCTTCGGACAGCGCTGGCTCTTCGGCTTGGAAACAGAGATGAGCACCAGCCCCATAGAGTCAGATTCAACTAGCTTTCGAGCAAGGGAAACCTTTACTAGTTGGGGTTGATTGTTTTTAGAGATCCTTCTTGGGAATGTGATAAAGATTATTTGGGCTGGCTGTAGGGGAGAAATGATAATTTAGGCTGGTGGAAGTTTTTACCTTTTACAGCTTATGCGCTTATTGATTGTGGTTTTTATGACAAACTACTTTGTAAATCTTTGTGTGTATTCCAGTACAGTCTTAAGCAGAGTTACAGTTTAATTAAATGGGCTTGGAAGGATGTAACTCGACTTAGGATGGTATGGCTAGCCATCTAAGACCTCCGTCTACCTATCATGTTTTTAAAAGTTTGCCTGCTCCATTTTATTCACCCCTTCCTCCAGGGAGCTCAGGGTGGCATACATTGTCTTCCCTTCCCCATTTTATCCTCACGGCAACCCAGGGAAGTAGGTTAGACTGAAAGATAAATTGTGAGGATTAGATGGGGAAGGATGGACAGTGCATACCCTGTAGGAAAGCAGTGCAGAATAAATCACTATTCTCCTGCCTGGAGATTGGAAACCCAAAGGTATTTGTGTGCTAACAGCATGAGAAGTCTGGTGATTGCCTCCACAGTCGGTATAACCTTGAGAGAGTGGGAGTGGCAGAGATAACAGAGAGCCTGTACACACACACACATTCCAAAAGGATGCTCGAATGCTTGAAACTTTCCTCTACGCAGGGAGAAGGAGTGTGAGAGGAAGGGGGGAGGAAATGGGGGGAAACTGAGCTTATAAATAAATACTGGGAAGCCGAGAGGTTTCAGATCAGCTTCCTGCAGACTTGTGTCCTGTCGTCTTTGCATCGCATGCACCCCTGCACCCCACACCCCAAAGAGTGACACCACAATACCCCAAGGGCCAAACCACACATTATGACTTTTGGTGTGTTCTCTCTTGGTTCCCTGGCTTGGCTCTGAATCAGTCACATGTCAGCTGTGAGGAACTAATCTTCCAAGTGCACAGGACCCTGGTTCAGATTGGGGCCATGGTTTTGCATGTACTTTTGTACTTTTCCCCCAACCTGAAAACAGCCCAGAGGGGCACTGTTTTCCCCATAAGGAGACTGCAAAAGTGTCCTGATGGGTAACCGGAATTCTCAGTACATGTCTGCTCAGCAGTACCCTGTGGTGCCACTGGCCGAATGTTTCATGAGTTAGGCCCCAAGAGAGCAGGGATTTGTACCTAGGTCTCCTGAAACACTGTTCACATGTTACAGTGAATGCTGCATGTTTATAAAAAAACAGACCACATGCATTCACTTTGACAAAGAAAACCGGGCCCCAGTACCTAGATAAACACGGGGTTTCAATCACACATTAAGAAGTACAGGTATTGAATACAGCATGAGAATTACTCAGTGCACATACAGAGAAATACTAAGTGTACACTGTACATGGGTTGTACATGAGTTCACTGGAACTTCTGAACAGGGCCTGAATTGTCCAAGCTTGATGCTTTAATTGCACCTCAGGTCCAGTAGCACCTTAAAGTCTAACAGAATTTGTGGCAGAGGATGAACTTTCATGAGTCACTGCTCACTTCTTCAGATACCTCATTCCCCCTTTATGTCTACTTTTGGTCCCGAACACCACAGAAACTGTCGTCTGATCAGCAGTAATTGGCCAGGCCTCCGCTCTTCTCTTTTGAATGTGTTTTGCTATATTCAGAGGCAGGCACAGAGTGACTGCAAAGCTGCCACGGACTGGCCTGCTGCCCTCACTAAGCCTCTAAGTTAGTCGCTCTCGAAATGCTCACCTAAAAACATACATCTAATGAATATAAATGGAAAAGAAAGCTTGCTGTAAACATAGATATTTTAAGAACTGACCTATGATGCTCTCCTCTGTTACCTTTTCCAGGTCAAAGACTTTTGGAGGCTCATCCTAGTGCTACTACTGAGTAGCAAGTCACGTAGGAAACCAGAATGAAGTCATTTTTTCCAAGGCAAGTCTCCTACTGCCCCCCATGTCTATCTCCTTCAACCCTCCGCTTCTTGAAACTGTACAGGTTTGCTTGCGACCAAGTTTCTATCAGACAGGGCACCCTCCGCTGCTCTGAAGCCGGGAGGAATTCAAAATTCTTTCTCTCAAGACGGCAGAGCAAAGAACAAGCCCTGCTGCAAAGAAGCGCTTGCAACGGATCTGCAGAGGCTGATATTCCTCCCTATTCCTCCCCTCCAGTTCCATGGATGCGCACTAGAAGTTGGCACACTATGTAGGTTACGATAAATAATTTGTTAGCAATTTACGTGGGTCTGTGTGCTTCCCTCCGCTTTTGGCTGAATTATTAATGGCCAAAAAACCCCAACACACACACACAACTACACACTGTGGAACTGTGTCAGCCCGGTGCTATTTTTATGATTGCGGTTGGGGTTGGGGGGGAGGGAGCGGCGGAGTTGGTAAGGAGCCAACGCACCACTCTGGATGTTGAGAGCATGGTGTTTGTCCAGAGACCAGCCTCCGAGTTTGGACGCGTCGATTTCATAGCCCTGAAGCACCGCCGTCCTCTTCTCCCAAAGGATCAAGTCCGGACACGCTTCGTATGACACGATTCGTATTCGAACCCCACTGAGACTGGAGGGGGTGAGGTGGGGAGAGTGAGAAAGAAAGAGAGAAACCCATTGTTTAGTCAACCCAGAAATGAGAACTTGGTGTACAGCGGTTGGATTATCACGGGGTGTGGTCAAAAGCGCCTTCCTGCAGGTTAGAACCAATTTCTGATTGAAAACACCATCACGCTCATGCCGAGTTTTCCCTCTTGAGAGCATTTTACAAAAAAGGTCAACATGGCAATAGATGTCGAACAAACGTGCTAACTGTTTAAAAACTGCTCAACCGGGGAGATTCTTTTTGGTTACAGGACATTCAAGGTCTCCAGTTTGCGATTGCGATCTTCTGACTCAGCAATGCTCACCTGTGCCTCTTTGACACACCGCCTAGAATAATAAAATTGTAGAGTTGGACGGGGGCCGTACAGGCCATCTAGTCCAACCCCCTGCTCAAGACAGGAACAGCCTAGGCAGGGATGTCAAACTCACTGGAAATGTGTTATTTAAAGTTTTTAAAAAATCTTTAATTGTGTTTGAATGTGTCCTTTATAAAGTTTGTATCTCCGCTACCTGGCATTACCTTTTATGACACACGTGGCCCGGCCCAACAAGGTCTCATTTATGTCCAATCCGGCCCTCATAACAGATGAGTTCGACACCCCCAGGCCTAGAGCATCCCTGACCAGTGTTTGTCCAGCTGCTGCTTGAAGACTGTCAGTGAAGGGGAGCTCACCACCTCCACCAGCCCATTCCACTGCTCAGCTACTCTTACTGTAATTCCCCCCCCCCATATCCATCTGGTACCTTCCAGGCCGTAATTATTGCGAGTTCTCTCCTCTGCTGCTAACAGGAACAGCTCCCTGCCCTCCTCCTCTAAGGGACAGCCCTTCAAATTCTTCAAGAGAGCCATCATGTCCCCCCTCTGCCTCCTCTTCTCCAGACTGAACATTCCCAGGTCCCTCAGCCTTTCCTCGTAGGGCTTGGTCTCCAGGCCCCCGATCATCCTCGTCGTCGCTCTCCTCTGCACCCGCTCCATTCTGCCCACATCCTTTTCGAAGTGAGGCCTCCAGAACTGCACACAGTAACTCCAGGCACGGCCTGACCAGTGCAGTGTACAGCGGGACTAGCACATCTTGTGATTTGGATGTCTCTTTGTGAGCACTGTTTTCCAGTGGGGTGTAGGGCTGCCAGTTCCGGGTTAGGAAATACCGGGAGATTTTGGGGGTGGAGCCTGAGGAGGGCGGGGCTAGGGGAGGGGAGGGACTTCAGTGGGGTATCATGCCATAGAATCCACTTTCCAGTCTGCCATTTTCTCCAGGTGAGCTGTTCTCTTGTCGCCCGGAGATCAGTGGTAATCCGGCCCGTAGCCACAGTGGGGCTATTGGGGGCTCCACCCCCTTCCTTAAAGGGCCAGCCCCACAAGATTTCCTTCTGAAAATGGGAAGGGATATCACTGCTTGAGGCAGGGGAAGGTTAGAGGGTGTTTTTGCATTTCATTTATGCAGGGCTCTTTTTGTAGAAAAAGCCCAGCAGGAACTCATTAGCATCACAGGCCACACCCAACAGCAAAACCCATTAGCATATTAGGCCACACCCTGACAACACAGCTCATTACCACATGTTTACTAGCAATCATTGGTTACTGTGTTCAGGTGACTTCCTTCTAGGAGTCAAGAAGAAGAAGAAACTCCATTGTTGTGCGGCCATGTGTTTTGTACGTGTAATAGGCTTACCAAGTGGTGGTAGGGGATCCGCATGTCTTCACAGGATCCCTGCCGTGGGGACGGCGGTACGTGATGCACCCGCCGTCGCCAGGATGTGACGACGCGTCGCTTTGGCAACAAGGCTGTTATGGAGTCCCGTTGCCAGAGCGACGCGTAGCGTCACATCCTGGCGACGGCGGGTGCATCACGTACCGCCGTCCCCACGGCAGGGATCCTGTGAAGACATGCGGATCCCCTACCACCACTTGGTAAGCCTATTACACGTACAAAACACATGGCCGCACAACAATGGAGTTTCTTCTTCTTCTTGACTCCTAGAAGGAAGTCACCTGAACACAGTAACCAATGATTGCTAGTAAACAGACTTAGATTTTCCCGGGCTTTCTTCCCATTGGCTCTGAGCCAAGTTTCCCTTCCAGGTCAGTCTAAACAATAGTGCAGAAGGTAAAACAGATTAACCCTATAATGACTGAAATCTAGATCTTGCACCTCACATATTTGCAACAACAAGGAAAGATAAGACTCACATTCTAGCTGTATGTGAAGAAGTGAGCAGTGACTCATGAAAGCTCCTGCCCTGACACAAATGTCGTTAGTCTTTAAGGCGCTTCTGCTCTTTTCTACTGCTTAAAGGTAAAGGTTCCCTTGCTTGAAAGCCAGTCGAGTCCGACTCTAGGGTTGCAGTGCTCATCTCCGTTTCAAAGCCGAAGAGCCAGCGCTGTCCAAAGCCTCATGTTTCAGTAAAGTGGGCAAGGACATTGCCTGGCGGGGGAGCCTGCAGTTGGCAGGTGGTTTCCACCTTGACACAGGAGGAAACTAGAAGACAAATTAAAAAAACCTGTAAGGAAACTGGATGTTTACAAGTACGTCTATTAGGGCGCGCAGGATATGTTCGACACTCCGTTTGGGAATCGCCCTCCCGATGCAACTGCCGAAATATTTTTTATCAAAACTTAGTTTAGTCCCAAAACTAAGAAGGGCTTTTGCTTTTGCTTCCCTCGGCAGTTTTGAAGGGCAGATATAAGGAAGTAAAAAGGTAAAGGTTTCCCTTGCTCGAAAGCCAGTCGAGTCCGACTCTAGGGTTGCGGTGCTCATCTTCGTTTCAAAGCTGAGGAATCAGCACTGTCTGAAGACGTTTCCGTGGTCATGTGGCCGGCATGACTACACACCAAGGCGCACGGAACGCTGTTACCTTCCCACCGAAGTGGTACCTATTTATCTACTTGCAATTTCTTGCTTTCGAACTGCTAGGTTGGCAGGAGCTGGAACTAGAGACGGGAGCTCATTCCGTCATGCGGCACACTCGGGTCTCGAACCGCTGAACTACCGACCTTCCACAGCCTGCAGTTCAGCGTCTTAACCACTTGAGCCACCGCAGCTCCTTAAAGAAGTATCATACTCTAATAGAACATGCAGACACTCATATCATACCATTGAAAGCATCGAACGCATGATTATGGAGTGCCCTATATTCGATGAGTTGAGGGCTAATTTAGTCAACCCTTTGCCTAAAGATATGGAACTGCTAAATGTGCGAGCCCAACTATCACGGCTACTGTCGGATACCAATGATCGTGTCACCCTTTCCGTGGCAAAATTCATAGGCGCAATAATCAGATACAAGAGAAATAATACTAAGGTCTTTTGAAACATTTTCTTTGGTTCTGATTTCTGCTTAAGGTGATAGCCGTATGAGCAGTACTAGACAGACAGACAGACACACACAAACACAGAGGAGTAACAGGTAAGCTGCAAACCTTCCTCGGGTGCAGGCCTATTGCCAGGGATGGAAGAAAAGGTGCCTCTTTTGCAAGTGCGGCTCTTGGGTTAGATGCTGCGTGAATACAGCTGCTCTAACTGAAAAGGGACATCCAATGAAATGGGGTGAGAGAACACATCTGAGGCCCTATACTGAATCAGAGCTTCACTGCAAAGGGAGGGTTCGATCCTAGCTCTCAGTTCCCAGTCTGACACTCTTAGAAGAAGAGAAGAGGATTGGATTTATACCCCACCCTTCACGTGGAGTCTCAGAGCGGCTTACAAACTCCTTTCCCTTCCCCTCCCCACAACAGACGCCCTGTGAGGCGGGTGGGGCTGAGAGAACTCTGACACAAACTGCCCTTTTTCAAGGACAGCTGTGCCAGAGCTTGTGACTGACCCAAGGTCACATCAGCAGGTGCAAGTGGAGGAGTGGGGGAATCAAACCCGGTTCTCCCAGATTAGAGTCCGCGCACTTAACCACTACACCAAACTTACATCAGTAGAGTCCAGTAGCACCTTAAAGAACAAAATTTGTGGTAGGGTTTGAGCTTTTATGAGTATCTGAGGAAGTGAGCACTGACTCACAAAAGCTCCTCCCCTGCCACGAATTTTGTTAGTCTTGAAGGTGCTCCTGGACTCTTGCTCTTTTCTGCTGCTATAGACAGACAAACACGGCTACCCGTCTTAATCGATCTCCATGGAAGGCACCACATTTAGCTGTACAGAATGGGAATCCATCAACTTTGCGATATAAGGACAGATGGATTCACATTCTAGCTGTATCTGAAGAAGTGAGCAGTGACTCCCCGAGAGCTCCTACTCTGCCACGTATTTTGTTTGTCTTTAAGGTGCTCCTGGACTCTTGCTCTTGTCTGCTGCTATAGACAGACTAACAAGACTACCCACCTGGATCTGACTCCATGGAAGGAAACACAAGTAGCTGTACAAAGTGGGAGTCCATCAGCCTTGTGATATAAGGACAGATGGATTCACATTCTCGCTGCATCTGAAGAAGTGAGCGGTGACTCACAAAAGCTCCTCCCCTGCCACAAATTTGGTTAGTCTTGAAAGTGCTCCTGGACGTTTGCTCTTTTCTGCTGCTACAGACACACTAACAGGGTGACCCATATTCCTCTTACATCACACTGCCTCTCTGCCAAGACTGTCAACGAGACACGGGAACGGTTCCTTACCGAAAGCTTCCGACAGCCCATAGACCTTCTGATTGTAGACGTCCGTCTTGTCCCATACGAAGTAGTAAGACAGGTCGGGACCTGCGGCGAACCACTTCCGGAAGAGGCGCCCCTCAACGGCTACCATGAGGTGGACTTTCATCAGGTTGAATGGTATAGTGGGGTGGGTCAAGCTAATCCTCAAGACTGATTTGTAGCCGGACGTCCGACTGCTCAGGTAGCTCAGCTTTATTTTAGTGCCTGAAATCTTAACCTCTTCTTGCAAAGCCTGGAAAAAGGGGAAACGAGAGCAACTTACAGGAAAGCCGTCATTCGATGGCGCTCAAAGCGGGCTAAGCAGTGTCAACAGTTAACAGGAATTCTGTTCTTACACATACCTGAACGAGACATCACTAACAAAGAAACCAGCTCCGACACAGACAGGTTTATATGATTGGTCTCAGAAGCTACACGTTGGAATCTCAGAATCTATGCAGAAGTGAGCCGTGACTCACAAAAGCTCATACCCTACCAAAGACTCTTCAAGAAGTGAGCAGTGACTCATGAATACTCATCCCCCTGCCACAAATTTTGATAGTCTTTTAAGTGCTACTGAACTCTCGCTCTTTTCTACTGCTACAGACAGACAAACTCGACTACCCACCTTCAGGGCTATTTTTGGGCAGGAACGCACAGGAACGGAGTTCCGGCTGGCTCCCGAGTTGGCCACGCCCAGCAGGAACTCATTAGCATAATAGGCCACACCCAACAGCAGAAATTCATTAGGATTGGCTACATTCGGGTTCCTGCTACAAAAAAAGGCCCTGGGTTTGGACAACAAACAAGGTAAACAGAATAAGAAGCAAAAGGTGGGTGTGGCTGGATGACCACACTTCTGGTGACATGGGGGTATGGCCTAATATGCTAATGAGCTGCTGTCAGGGGTGTGGCCTAATAGGCTAATGTGTTTCTGCTGTTGGGTGTGGCCTATTATGCTAATGAGTTCCTGCTGGGCTTTTCCTACAAAAAAAGCCCTGCCCACCTTGATCTTTTTTGGATGGTCTCATTTTAAGACTTAAGGTCTGGTGGTGGAAAGTGCCCTCAAGTTCCAGTCAACTTATGGTGATCCAGTAGGGTTTTCAAGTCAAGAGATGTTCAGAGGTGGGTTTGCCATTGTCTGTCTCAGCGTAGCAACCCTGGGCTTTTGGTGGTCTCTCACCAAGTACTAACCAGGGCTGGCCTTTCTTAGCTTCTGAGATCTGACGAGATCGGGCTACCCTGGGCCATCCAGGTCAGGGCAGATGAACAGAGGTGGTTGGCCATTGCCTGCTTCTGCCTAGCAACCCTGGGCTTCCTTGGTGGTCTCCCATCCAAATACTAACCAGTGCTGAACCTGCTTAGCTTTTGAAGATCTAATGAGATTGAGTTAGTCTGGGCCATCCGGGTCACATCACTTAAGGTCTACATTTGCATTATTCCTAGTCTCTTCTTGTCCTGTTTGGGTTGGCAAACAACCCTTAATTTCCAAGGTCTTTGCCTTCGCTCTAGATCAGAGGTCAACCAGCATTTATAATTAAAGAGCAAACTGCACTGAAACTGAGCACAAGAGACCAACGAAGAGCCAGTGTCAGAAAGACCATTTGTCCCTCCTACCAAATTTCTCTGCCAGATTTGATATGTCCCTTCAGTGGCATGGCGCACTGAAACTTTTCTTCAAGAACCTGAAAAGGTAAACTGAGCAGAGGACCAACAATAAAAACTTAGTTTAAAAATATATGTATTTATTTGTAAAGGATTAAAAACCATATGGGGGCCCAATCAGACCTCATGTAAAAATTCCAAAACCCTATGTACACAAGAACCAAGGGACTTGACCTGACGCGTTGTGGCCTGTTAGGGCCTTCTTCGGAGGTCAAACACAATGAGGAACAAACTGGCTTATACATAATACAACAATTATACAGCATAGATACAAAATGGACCAGAGAGGAATTGTTCCAGAGTGGAATTACTAGGCATAGAATGAAAGTATAAATGAGGCCTCCCAAGATCGAATCATATGCCAAATGATATTTCACTGATATTAATCTAGAAGCAAAAGAAATATTAACCAATGCAATCTAAAGTATTGAAACTCAAGTCAAAAATAATTTATATATATTTGTATCTCTCTCTCTCTCTCTCTCTCTCTCTCTCTCTCTCTCTCTCTCTCTCTATCTATCTATCTATCTATCTATCTATCTATCTATCTATCTATCTATCTATCTATCAAAATAAGAATTTTGTTGCTTCTGGTCCAGAAGGTGCCTTTCAACAGCTGTTCAATCCAAGCCAAAACGTCCTCAACAAGACTGTCCCTTTAGCAAAGAGCAGTGAAAACTTTCTGAAACTTTCTACCATTTTGCCATCTATGCAAACAGTGACGTGAAACACATGTTCCAATATATTTTCCAATACAAATTCCGGGGAACAACGTACGACTGCAGGGTTCATTCAGCCAAATGCATGTGAAATGTCACTGAGCAGCCAAGAAAACATGTTATTTCAATACAGATTCCAATATTCAAGCGAAACACTGGCAAAGAATTGGGACAGAAGGCCTATGCACAGATAATGGGAGAAATGATGGCGGAACAGAGCCAGTTTGCGTATGTGTGTATGTTAGCGTACCAGGGATCTATAATAATTTTTTTTAAATCACACCATTTACACAATTTACTTGAAAACTGGAGGATGCATTATAGCAGCCTCAATAACCCAGGCTAGCCTGAGCTTGGGCACTTTCACACTTTGCTGAATAACGACCTTCCAGTCCACTTTCAGTGCACCTCGCAATTGGTTTTTACTACACAAAATGGCAAAAATCGACCTGAGAACGATTGCTGAAGTGCACTGGAAAATCGATCGAAAATGCATTATTCGGGGTGTGTGAAAGTGCCCCCCTTTCGGAGCTCGGAAGCTAAGCGGGGTCGGCCACAGTTAGCATTTGGAGGGGGGGGCCCACCGAGGATGTCCTGGGTTGCTATGTGCCTCTGGAGTGCCCCATGGAGTGCGGTTGCCAACCTCCAGGTGAGAGCCTGATTCCTAGCTACTTGGAACATACTTGGAGACTTCGTGTCATTTTGAATCCTGCCAAAGCTAGGTTGAGAAAAGCGGCCTGATGAAGCCCTAAGAAACGGCAAAGCAACCTAGGCGTGCCGTCGCCGCTCCTTCGGTTCGCACTACAGCTAGTCCTGAACTCATGCCGTCTACTGTACGCTTTCTTCTGGAAACTCTTCCTCTGCACCGTGAGCTGGTGACCGCATCAATCTGAAGAGAGACTTGTACTTTCAAGGACTATTAGGTCGCCATTCAACTGGGGCAGCTGTCATTTATGCCTGGTGGCAAAACTATTTGTTATATGTATTAATTCTGGCTGTAAGAAGACTTGTGAAGAAGTAGAAGAAGAAGAAGAAGAAGAAGAAGAAGAAGAAGAGGAGGAGGAGGAGGAGGAGGAGGAGGAGATTGGATTTATACCCCGCCCTTCACTACCCAAAGGAGTCTCAGAGTGGCTTACAAACTCCTTTCCCTTCCCCTCCCCACAACAGACACCCTGTGAGGTAAAAGAAGAAGAGATTGGGTTTATACCCTGCCCTTCACTACCCAAAGGAGTCTCAGAGTGGCTTACAAACTCATTTCCCTTCCCCTCCCCACAACAGACACCCTGTGAGGTAAAAGAAGAGATTGGGTTTATACCCCACCCTTCACTACCCAAAGGAGTCTCAGAGTGGCTTACAAACCCCTTTCCCTTCCCCTCCCCACAACAGACACCCTGTGAGGTAAAAGAAGAAGAGATTGGGTTTATACCCTGCCCTTCACTACCCAAAGGAGTCTCAGAGCGGCTTGCAAACTCCTTTCCCTTCCCCTCCCCACAACAGACACCCTGTGAGGTAAAAGAAGAAGAAGAGATTGGATTTATACCCTGCCCTTCACTACCCAAGGGAGTCTCAGAGCGGCTTACAAACCCCTTTTCCCTCCCCCTCCCCACAACAGACACCCTGTGAGGTAGGTGGGGCTGAGAGAGCTCTGACAGAAACGGCTCTTTTTCAAGAACAGCTCTTATCAGAACTACGGCTTGCCCAAGGTCATCCAGCCAGGTGCCAGTGGAGGAGTGGGGGAATCAAACCTGGTTCTCCCAGATTAGAGTCCGCGCACTTAACCACTACACCAAACTGGCATAAGAAGACAGTGGTCTCTAGTGTGATTCATACAGGGCGACAGCTGATTCTGTTTATTTGTCTGCATAACCTCCAGGTGGTGGCTGGAGATCTCCCGCTATTACAACTGACCTCCAGGCGGAAGAGATCAGTTCGCCTGGAGAAAAAGGCCACTTTGAAGGTAGACTCCATGGCGTGATACCCCACTGAAGTCCCTCCCCTCCCCAACCCCCGTCCTACTCAGGATCCTCCCCCCAAATATCCAGGTATTTCCCAGCCAGGAGATGGCAACTCTAATGGGGGGGGCAGTCAACCAGGAGTTGGTTGCGACTTGACGGCGCTTAATTATTAAATAGGGCTGCCAGCTCCGGACTAGGACATTTCTGGAGATCTTGGGGATGCGGGGTTTGGGGAGGCGATGGACTTCAGCCATAGAGTCTACCCTCCGAAGCGGTCATTATCTCAGGCGGAACTAATCTCTCTTGTCTGGACATAAGATGTGATACCGGGGAATCTCCAGGCCCCACCTGGAGGATGGTAGCCCCATTACGAAAGGATATACCTGTGTGTTTTCAACAAATGTTCAGAAAACTTTTCTAACAGCTCAGGTGCTGGCGATATCTGCACAGAAAGCAGTAGGGCGAAACAAAGGCTCATCTGGAACAACAAAACCCAGACTACTCCATCTCTTGGCAAGGAGATGTGGGAACAGTGGCATAAGAGCATAAGAAGAGCCCTGCTGGACGAGACCAGTGGTCCATCTAGTGCAGCACCCTGTTTCACACAGTGGCCAACCAGTTCCTCTGGAGGGCCAAAAACAGGGCACAGAGGCTGAGGCCTTCATAAGAACATAAGAAGAGCCCTGCTGGATGACATCAGTTGTCTATCTAGTCCAGCATCCTGTCTCACACAGTGGCCAGCCAGCTCCTCTGGACGGCCAACAACAGGGCACAGAGGCCGAGGCCTTCCCCTGATAAGAACACAAGAAGAGCCCTGCTGGATCAGACTAGTGTCCATCTAGTCCAGCATCCCGTCTCACACAGAGGCCAACCAGTTCCTCTGGAGGGCCAAAACAACAGGGCACAGAGACCGA